TATACAACAAATTTCTATCCCCGCTGCCACCAATGTTGTAACTCTACTTTCTTGACTAGGGCTGAAACGAACATAAAATTTGAGTATTCGAACGTTCTTGATATTAACGAACGAACGAACGAACATTCTCTAACATTCTCCTCGCACGCGCGTCCTCGCGCACGAACCGGCATAGGCAAGAAAATAGTGGAATTTTTGAATACAGTACAGCAATAAACTAACTTTTGTGGCGCACAAATATTTGCGTTTTCATGAATGCGGCTGGTTTGTGATGAGAAAATTTTGCGATTTTTACCTCTTTTGAATCTTGTAGTTGTGCTGTCTACAATGCACGTACTGAGCAGTTTGTGGCGGTTTTTCTTCTCCAGAATGCGCAATGGCCGCGAAAGGAGCGCAATTTAATCACTTGCAAAAGTTTCCAACTTTATAGTACGTCTTTTATGATGCTTTCAAAAGTTGAGGCACAATGGCCTCCAACTGAGCAACGCCATACTGCTACTGCTGAGGACCAGAACGTTGCGTCACAGCAACGTTTGTCATCAACTTGCTTCCTGTTCAGTGTTGATGCCGTAGAAATAACTGCACTCCCAGAAACGACAGAAGAATGCTGAAAGTTACCGTAGTTGTGTTTCCAGGTGCGCATAGAGGTTTCTCGCCGTTTTGCCATGCTAACCATACGCTGCGGAAAATCCTGCAGGCAGCTGACTTCTCATCCTCAGATTTGGTAAAATGATCCCAAACAACAGAACGGGGAGCACGACCGAAAAAAGTTCCTGACATGGGAACAGTGCGAACTCGAAACAAAAAAAAACTACGAAGTGGTCAAAGGAAGAGCGAGCAGCAAAAATATGTAAGTACGAGTACTCGTGCTTTGTTCCGATGTTCGTCTACATGTCGTCAGATCGTGAACCGCGCGCGCGCGTGCGCGTGGGTCATGTAGGTAGGTCTTCCACCTGGCGCAGCGCTGGTCACAAGCACGCAGCTACATATTCCACAGGAGGTGTGTGAAACGATCGTGACTGATTGCGATGTTTTTACGGGTTTATCGTACCGTACGCACATTCTCAAAGTTCGAATTTTCGTGAGAACTACGAATGTTCGTTCGCTGTGGCCTAACGAACGAATATTCGAATGTTTGGTATGTTCGTTTCACCCCTACTTTCTTCACCTGCTCCCAGCCCCGTGCCATCTTCACATTTATACAATGGACGACGATAACTACATTTAGAAGACTGCATTTGTGACAAGACAGCGGAAACACAACTGGACATGACGAACTCAAGACGAAGACTGCGTTTCACACCACGGCAACACGCGCATGCGCCAACACCACATACACACGGCGTACATGTGCACAAAACAACGTACTACAACAGGTGTATTGGAGTTTGTGGAGAAGTAGAAAAGTCTGGAACCTATCTGTTCTAATTATCCAGACATTCTAATCATCCAAACATGTATCCACATCCCATGATGTAGGTCAGAATGCTCGCATTAGACATGGTTAGCATTTTACCGTTCACGCTAACTTCCACCGTCGGCCTGTACCGTTTTGTGTGTGTGTTTCAAGACATGGTTAGCATTGCGGTTTCTGACACAACGATCGACTTGTGACGTAACCCCAGTTGGAATCTTACCGTTTCGTTCTCCTGCTAAACAGAGCTTTCTATCGTCGAAACGATACCAAAAATGACGGTATTTCAGGTGTTGAGTACGAGTACCGTTAGATTTAACGTGAACGGTAAAATGCTAACCATATCTATTGTCACGCCGAGTTGTACTATGTACCTAAGAGACCCAGATTCCGCCGACACTGAACTGGCCAATACAGACTGCTCATGCACATTGAACTGATTTGTACATAATGTCACTGAGTGTGAACTTCGAATTACGCTTTGTTTACTCCAAATTATCAGCACAAAAACCACACACTTTCTATTCCGTGGGATTTCTAGTTAACCGGACCGGCCCAGTTCGAGGTTTAAATTATCAGAAATTGTTACGTGGGAATCATATTGATGGAAATCGGTCCTGAAAGATGTGCAGTCACCTACCTGTGCCTATATATTCGGCATAGTAAATCCATGCGTAAATTGACCCCGCTTCCTATTCCACACCTTCGCGTACGCACATGCACCTCGTATGCACCAGCGGTAACTGTTGCGTGCCTGGTGCCTGTGCTGTTTACATGCCTGCTCTGTTCCCTGTGTTCTCCACGTCTCCTTCTGTCTTCATCAAGTATAGTTTGTAGTTTCTACCACGACGAGTGCGATGGTGGTGTTGGGCTGAGAGAGAGTGCATGGGCATTTATCCTTAGTGCTGTTGCAATTGAGAAGTAATTTCGCTGCAGTAACGCAACAAAAGAAACTTCTAATTTAAAGGCATTATGTTCGAATTAAGCCATATTTGAATTGCAGGATTCCACCCGTACTTTGTAGAGAAGAGTAGTACGCAATACATGCCGTGCTCTGAGTCAGACTCGTCGTGCAAACGACATTGCACTACGGAGTGCATGCTAAGCTACCGCTTAGTTGAGTAATCATGGCATACATCTCGATTATATTCAGCCAGCATGACCTCCTGAGTTTGCTTGATTACATACATCGGCTCCCGTGCAGGACGAAGCATGGCCACCTCAAACTCAACAGGTTTTTAGTAGTACAGTGTGGACGGCTGCACTGAAGGTGCCCTCGTACGACAACACTTGGTGACCTCTGCTTTGAGTTGTAAGCCATGATTGCTCAACTAATGGAAGTGTCGGATCCCTCGCATGACAAATCATGGTTCTTACAGAACTCTGAGTCCAGCTTCTGACTTGCTGGAAGCTCAATGCGTGGTCGTTTTCGCGACGAGTCTGACTCAGGGCATGACACAGAAACTACCCTACGGTATTTTTTGATGAAAAAATGTTTTTCCATAATTATGTTCATATGGCGCCGCACCTAAACAGTATTTTGTTTCTGGTAACATGGCCAGAAGAATACCGGTCGGTCGGCTTTCTTTCTTTTTTTGCTGATTATTTATGCATGCCAGAACTAATTACCGGTACGCACGTGTGTAGAGCACACAGCCCAGATACAACATGTGTGGTTGTTAAAGCGGCTGTGCATAGCATTCACAATCAACAGCTCGATCAGACCGCCAGAAACAGTCAAACTGGACCGTGGTCATACTCCGAGGCGTTGCGCACCAACACATTGTTCAGCGATTGTCGTTTGCCAGGAACTACAGCTCCCTGTTGCTCCAACGCAAAGAACAGAATCGGTGTCCGAACTCCAAAATGAAGCTCAACATTATCACTCTTGTCAACATCGTTCCGGCTTGCCCCGGTTTCGATGGAGGCAGCAAAATACTGCATTGAAGCGAGTGATGCCTTCTGGATGAAGACAGGGGCGTCGGAAGCAGTTTAACATTGGTGCGGCCAAAGTGTGAGAGGGGGTGCGGGGTCCTCCACCGGGATTTTTTTTGAAAATTGGGCCTAAAAGGCCATATTTTAATGCTACAGAATTATGAGAAATAAGAATATGCATGCTGATGATACACCGCATTGTCGATGTAAAACATGGTACCTGTACAAGAGTCGTCAAGCCATCAGCAAGGTTTCTACGGAACACTACTTGGCTAACCCCGAAGGCTCGCTTTAGGTAGTCATGCGACCTGGGTTGGAAAGGAGCATCTCCTATTTCGGGGTATCCATCCATCTTTTTGAGTCAGTAAACAATAAACCTCGATAGGCATATCGCTATTGCTTCAGAAGCTCCACTGAGAATCGAACTGCTTCGCTGTGGCCATGGTCAATCTACATACGTGGACAATTAGAACCACTCGAGAATCGCGTGGCAGCCTTACATCTTCACAGATGATTGTCATCAACAAGAGGACAGCTCTTGTCAAGCAAAAGCTGCGTCAGGCGAAATTACTGATCAGTCGGCGACACGCATTTTTCACAAAAATATGCGTTTCACCTGCTGGGAGAGTATGCGTGTACTCGTACTCGAGTCTCATCCTGAGCACGTTTTTTCCTTCTTTTTTTCAGCTCCAGTATAGCTGTATATTTCATTGCAAAGCTGTCCTCGATTGTTGTGCTCGTTGTTCAAACGAAGTGGACATTCAATCATGAAGGCAGAGGACATAGGAGCCTGATTGGAGTTTCTCGTGGCATAGGACGGCCACACAGAGACACTTTGGGATTTTCTGAATATAAAATACCGTACGCACGATGCTGAGATCAATTTGTGCGATATCAAATTGTTTGTGATCTACCACATCGAGCAGAACGGGATCCAAACACAAGCTTACCGACGGTTAGGCTGCCGACCTGACTGGACAAATGATCCTTGGCTTCACCAGACGCCAGAAGTCGGACACCATGTCCTTTGCCGCGACGTCCATCTCCAAAAAGAACTCCATCTTCGTCGTGAAAAGGCTTGAAATACTCAATATTCAACCGAGATTCGCGGTCTCACCCTTTCTCAGATTGAATCTGTTTTTGTTGTAGCAGTTGCAGGGCAGATCCCCGCCACTACTTCAACAGGAGATGGCTCCAAAGCATGCCTGGAACAAGCCATATCGAGGTTGCAAGCCACCCCTCTCAGCAAGAAATTCGAAATTTCAATGGTGGAAGATATACTATGAAGAGAATTTCAAAAAGTATGTTTCGCGGAGCGATCGCTCAACCTACGTCATTCAAACTTTGCAGGATGGTTCAGACGTACATGCTAGGCATGGAACCACCGGAGATGATATCATAGCTGACACACAGAGTCACACACACAGCAGATTCGTGTGCACAGATACTAAATTAGTGGATGTCGTCATCTTCTTCCCGCTGATCTCAAATGTACTATGACGTGCTATTTCGCCTGACGACGACCTCTGTGCTTCGCAGAACTTTGAATCATGTCACGTTGAAGCGTCGTAACTTGATTTTGATGTAAATGTGCCATAGGGCGGTTTCTGTAGTCCTTGGCTCATATCATGTGTTTGCTTGCTGTGTGCAGCGCCTTGTGTTGAGGGTATCTGTAATACCTATTATCATAACACGCAGTGTGTACCTAACCCCCAAAGCACAACCGCCTGGTTCGGCCTTTGTAAATGCACTAGGCCGGTCTGTGCCCGTAAGTAACCATGCGCAGACTTTGCTCACTGCTTTTCTTGTCTTCTGAATTTCCTCTTTAGAGTATCGTCGACAAGAGGATACGAAAACAGCTAGACCAAATGTGTGCATGAAATTCTACCTTTTATTTATCCTCAAAGGACGTGGAACTGTGCTCAGTTTGTCTGGTAAAAACCAGAAAATTAGCCCAGGACATTGTTCCATTGCAATAATAACAACAGGAAAACATACCCGTATTTTCTCTAATAAGAGCCCGGGGTTCTTATTTTTTCAGTGACAGCTCTACCCGCGCTTCTATTAGAGACTGGGCTATTATTGGAGACCGGGCTCTTATTTTTTCAATTGTCAACTATCAAGCCAACTCCAGTCTATACAGGCATAAACTGGCCATATCAAGACTGATTTTTCAACCCTAAACTCAGGAATATTGTCAAAACAGATGTTTCACAATAGCATTGGCGCCAGGAAGGAAGCAGTAGACCGAAAACCTCCTTACAAATATGTTCTTGGCATGTTGTAATGCTGTTTTATATGCAGTCAATATACTTGTTGCATACTCCAATTGTGACCCGCGCTACTATTAGAGACTGTGCTCTTATTATTTCAAACCACCCTCACCCCGGGTCATTATTGGAGACTGGGCTATTATTGGAGACCTGGGCTTTTATTGGAGAAAATACGGTAATAATTATATCAGTTCATGTGACTCAGTCCCAGGCTGTACTAAGATAAAGCAAATTGAAATTCTAGCTTGCTGAAATTCAACTAAGCCATGCGAGCCATTCACTAAATAATAATCGGGAGCATAGTGTTGGAAATGTGAAAACTGGCAAAGTTGCCATTGGGCACATCACATCACGGTGCGATGCCGTCACCCGTTCACACTTGAGATACAGGCGGTTTGCACCTTCCACCCACCCCTTACTGTATGAAAGTGGGATAGATTCATCTCTGCCGTCGCTTCCCAACCTGCGAGGTGGCACAGCTGTGTTCCCGCGGTGGCATTCGTGGTGTTCCCACCCATTCGACACCGCCGTTTGACACCGTCATGAATGTCCTGTTGCTGCTTCACGTTGCTCCTTGTATCGAGTTCTGTTGCGCCCTGTCAAATGAGTGTGTATGTGCGTGTGTGTGTGTGTGTGTGTGTGTGTGTGTGTGTGTGTGTGTGTGTGTGTGTGTGTGTGTGTGTGAACTAAGCTTTAGGGATTCTGCAGTAAATGCACGTGCAATGCATGAACAGGGTCTCTGACTTACTCCGAGTATGACTATTCTTTCAACAAACCGAGCGAGTGCTCGAATATTCAGTATAATATTTATAGTTCACCCCTGTAGTGAGCTGGCCAGAATGTAATGATTACTGGAATGACAAGTGACTATAACATACAGCAGTGTGAATGTAGCACATCATGAAGGTGTGAGTACGACACATGCAGTGGTGTGTAGAATGCAGCATATGACAGCTAGGTGGTGTAAGAACAACGCAATCACTATCACTACAACCCCTACCTAAAACTACCCTGTAAAAGCACTGGTGTCAGTGTTGACAGGTGTGCATCCACTCGTGTGCGTGTGCCCCCCCCCCCCCATCCATCAATTTTCTACGCGTGGTGCAGCTTCACCGTGTGCGTCAATGCACGTTTGTCGTCGGGGTTTTTCTTACCGATGATATGACCTTCCGATTACTCTCACTCATGCACACATACACCACATACAGAGATGGCCAAATATTTGTTCTGGCACCATGGAGAGTCTCAGGAGGAAGGCAGCGAAGAAGAAAGGAATACGTACAATAATTATAAGCATGCATGCTCGCTGTGCCGCAACCTGCACAGTCCGCACGGGGCACAAAACTGACAAGCTACTGAGACATTCAACGACCTGAGGCCTAGCTCTAACACACATCTTGTTACAGTCGTGGATAGTTGCTGCATAACTCGTTCTCATGTGTTTTCTTCTCTCCTTTTTTAAAACATTTGTTACTGGCTCAGAACTAAATATTGCGACAGAGCTTTCGGCCATATTTTCAATTCATTGCATTCCCAACTCATCACAACCACGCGCTCTTCAGCCGAACCATACAGACACCAGCAAGGACACTTCCGTTGAGAGATAATATTGCTCCACTCCTCTAGACAGCTGTTTCGCTCCCTGTCGGAGCTCATCAGTAGAGGATGATAATGATGAGTATTCCGCGTAAGATTTTCGTCGCTTGTGTGGTGTGTTTCTCCACCAATGAGCGCATACTATGATTATTTATCGCTGTTCTCACACTTTACCATTTTAGCAGCTTGTATATGCCATTGATATATGTGGAAAGCACGCACTTGCGCCATTTCTGGTGTATAAGAATGATCATTCCTCCATTATCATCATTATCATCCTCTATGATGAGCTCCGACAGGGAGCGAAACAGCTGTCTAGAGGTGTGGAGCAATAGTATCTCTCAACGGAAGTGTCCTTGCTGGTGTCTGTATGGTTCGGCTGAAGAGCGCGTGGTTGTGATGAGTTGGGAATGCAATGTTACTGGCCCAGTCTCTGATTTAAAATTTTGCGCTTGTAAATGTTCATATGTATATGCGAATGGGAATTTCCTTTTTGGGTCTTTACAGAATCCTTTCGTCAGCCTCAGCGACCATACCCTCGTCCAGATAGTACGTATGCGGGAATTTACTTGCCATAATGTTCTTATAATATAACGGTTATGTGCACTCGACATGCACGCATGCCCCTCCCCCCATCCACAGATGCATGTAAGCATGTACGCACACGGGCACAAACTGACACACACGCATGCACGCGTGCGCATACACATGCACCCACCCACACACACACATGCGCGCACACACACACACACACACACACACACACACACACACACACACACACTACTACTACTACTACTACTACTACTACTACTACTACTACTACTACTACTACTAGTGACAAGCCTCTTTTACGGGCAAAATAGCGGAAACGTGAAATCGTAAATCATTGAAGATCAATTCAATTAAAAAAAAGAAAACTCCTTTAAATAACGTCAAATCAATTAGTAAATCCAATGTCAAATCCAATGTCAAATCCAATGTCAAAAGAAGAAAACTTTAAACTCAAAGTGAAAATTAAAGTAACAGGTCCCGTCATGTATGCAAGTCTAAGCCAATGTCAATATAAATTACCTGTCATGAATGTTATGAATGGATGTGCATGCATTGTGGAGAACTGTCCGTACACCTATCCAATTCAACAAATAGACAGACAAATGACAACAGAGTGAAGTACCTACATTGTACATACATCCTACACCGTACCATCGGCAGCGAGTCCACCCGGTGCCAAGCCGGCGTCTCAGCAGCCCCCTTGCCATGGCAACAGCTCATCGGCCACCCATCTGCCGGCACTCCACCAGGAAAGACGACTGGCGACGCCGCATATACGAGGCCCGGCACCCGCGGAAACAGGTGCTACTACTACTACTACTACTACTACTACTACTACTACTACTACTACTACTACTACTACTACTACTACTACTACTACTACTACTACTACTACTACTACTACTAGCAGCATGACTGCCCAGAGGGGCAAGTGTCACCCCTATGGAAAGGGGACCAGAAAACGGGACACGGATCACAAGCAGGACCGCGAATGTCTGGCTAGGTCCTGCTGCCGGCGGAAATTGCGTTTACAATGTGGGCAGCTGAGGGGCAGAGCTGCTCTCTCAGCAGCAGATGGTCTCGCACCACGATTGCAGTTGTGACGCTTGAACCCGGCCGCAGAACGGAAGCATCGCTGACATGTTGGGCAGTGCTGCTGGCAACAAGCTGAAAGTGGCACAGACAGACTGACTGTTGGTGTAGGAGAACTCGTGACAGGCTGGCATCGATGAACAGAGTAGCCACCCTTGCTGCGGAACCACCTCTGGCAGTTCTGGCATTGCACTGATCCACGCTGGAGCTGGATGGGAAGCCGTCTCTGAGTGGTGCACTTGTGCCGCGTTCTATCGGAGACCCGTGAGAAGTTCCGGTCACATACTGCGCAATGCACAGACTTGGGCATGGTGGAGCTCGACTGAGGGGCAACCCGTACTTCCCTCCACTGTTGGCGGTCCTGAGCAAGGATGAACCACTGAGATGGCTGTTGCAGTGCAAACTTGAGGTCGGTCATCACCGTGTCTTTCCACCGTCGCCGGGGACCACAAAACGGCCGAGGCACAGGTAGCCACCCAAAGAGGAGTTACACACACAGACACACACACATGAACACATGAACACACACACACACACACACACACACACACACACACACACACACACACACACACACACACACACACATACTTGTACTTGTACTTGCTCACTGCCAAAACTGGTCACGTGGGTCTCCCCGGGAGAGGGGAGAGAGACTCAAAAGGAATCTTGGAGAGATGACTCAATTGGCCATTGAGCCACCCAACGGCCGACACCCCCTGAAATCCCCAAACTAGGGTGGACTTGAAATGATCCCACTTATGGGCTCACCACACCTCAGTAAGTGGGTGAGGACAAGGTGCAGAAAAAGGATTGACGGCATCAGGGTATCCGCACATACACACACACACACACACACACACACACACACACACACACACACACACACACACACACACACACACACACACACACACACACACACACATACACATGCATACACATGCATACGCGTGCGCACACACACACACACACACACACCTGGTGTACAGCTGCCAAATGCTTGGCCACGCCGCCCCCGAGACAGGGGAGAGTAGAAGAGAGAGTTCGAGAGAAGTCAGCACTGCCACTAGGAAGCCGCTCCGCCACGACGTCGTCCACGATTGCAATTGTGTCGCCGAAAGCCTGGAGCAGATTTAAAACAGCGATCACAGGTAGCGCAGTGCTTGTTGCAACACGGATGGCTGGTGATTGGTATGCGCTGGGGTGTGGGCGGTGATGCCGGGGCGGGTGTCGTGCACTTGTGCACAGCAAGTCCACCGGCACTTCGGAACCACCGAAGGCAGGCATGGCAGGCACACACACACACACACACACACACACACACACACACACACACACACACACACACACACACACACACACGCACACACGCACACACGCACACACACACACACACACACACACACACACACACACATGCACACATGCACACACATACACACAAACACACTACTACTGCTGCTGCTGCTGCTGCTGCTGCTGCTGCTGCTGCTGCTGCTGCTGCTGCTGCTGCTGCTGCTGCTGCTGCTGCTGCTGCTGCTGCTGCTGCTGCTGCTGCTGCTGCTGCTGCTGCTGCTGCTGCTGCTGCTGCTGCTGCTGCTGCTGCTGCTGCTACTACTACTACTGAGAACGTTGACTTTATTTGATAACAAACTGGGTGTCGGAATGAAGAATTCAAAAAGCGGAAGCAAAGAAGGCAATGATGACAAATCCAATCAAGTATATTGTATATAGGAAAATCAAATCAAATAAATAGGAAAATCCAATAAGAAAAATAAAAGAATCAAGTCAACTATCGAATACCAAAACAAAGAGTAAACCCGCATCCGCAAACACCATCCAAGCAGCACCGTTTACCCAACTCATCCAACAACCCAGACAAGAGAAAACCAGATACGGTACACAAAGAAAACGAGTAAGTCAACCATCAAATCATGACCAACATATAATAGCAAAATTGCTACAACAAAAATACAGACAATATCATGAAACAGTTAGGTCAGGCAGGCTAAACAGCCAGGTGAGCACGGGCTCTGCACTCCACCACAAAACCGCCATGACCAGCACCCATGAGCCTTCGGCGGTACGAGTGCCGTGATCCCCGCAGACAAGTAATTTGCCAGCGAATCAGGCACACACTGATCCGGGAACGAAGCTGGCGCATGATCAGTGAGTAGGGGAGATCACGGTTCCTCTCACTGATTTGAGCTGCTAACGACTTCAGGAATATTGACGCCTCCGGCGCACGCTGCCCATTGGTGGCGAAAACCAACAGCGTGAACGAACCGCGGTCGACGTTGTTGATCCGGCTCGAGTACTGGCGCTTCTTCTGCCTCTCGTTGTCAGACAACTGGCTCGCTACTCCCGAACGCGACAGCAAAGACGGCCTTGGGTGGGTACTGTGACCCGAAAATCAAAGAAGGCGTTTTGCTGTCGCGTCGAGAAACCGCGAGCCCGTATGTCTGCACGAGCGGCAGCAGCAATACCCGAAACCGTCTCACCATCGAGAGGCAGCAGAACAGGCTCCAACTCAACATCATACGCCACCTCGGACATGGCACTAGCCGGTATTCAATCGTTCCCTCCTTAAGATTCTTTATCATATGCCCAAGTCCCTTTCTAGTGTCGCTCTCTATATGTTATCCTCGGCCAGACCTCTCCTAGAAAGACGACGAATCATGATGTGCTGTCTTATCCATCGTATTCGACTTTCCAAAATACCCCCGCATCTTAAACCATTTGACTGGTTCCGACAGTATAGCTCCACTAGGAACCAACTCTCCCTTCCTCTAGCCCGCTCTTCTGCATTGCTACGCTCCCCCCTTTTCAATGGCTAGTTGCATTGGCTTAAGCTGCACCAGGAGACAAAGGGCCTTTCTACTTTTTAAAAAGCATTCAGGAACGCCTTGCTTTACCAGTAGACCACAATTTTAGTCCAAATTTGCTTCTTTCTTCTTTTCCTTTTCTTTTTGACTTCTTACTCTTTCCCTTGTTAGCCGTGGTAGGCTATAGAAACCCTGCAATCGCCACGCAAAGTGGTCATTGGCTACCCCAGCCATGTATTGCTTGGAATAAAATAAAATAAGAAAAGCTTGAAAATCTCTGTACTGGACTACTTCCTCCGCTAAGCAAAACTTCGTTGCATTTTTACAGTTCAGTCCAAAGCATTCTATGGCTATCAAAACGCTTTGCAAAGTGGAAAACAAAGCAGCTTATGAGAGATAGTTCTTTACAGATGTCACACAGCTTGTTTCCAAGCAGTCCAGCTTCCTTCTCCGTCTGAATTTGATGAAGACTCACTCCTTGATGACATCGAGTCGGCATCCTCGCCTCCAGTGCTGCCAGCTTTTGTCCTGCAGCCTTTGCTGAGACACGATTTGATCGTGGAGATCGCCAATTTCTTCGCTCAAACTGTGAGCTTGACAACCTCCATGGCTGCGCTGGTAGTTGTTGTCTCTGCCGCTCAGACTTTCCAGAATGCCATGGAAAGAGCCATACGGACACAACCAAATACTCCTCATCTTGGCAGCGGGGTACTCGTGCCAGCACGTTTTCACAGCCTGCAGAAGCTCCTTTTTGTTTTCCTTCGCCACGAGTGACACGTCTGTCTTCAGGCTGTGAAAGAACGCCAAGTCGTCGACGTTGAGATCGGGACTTGGCGCAGGCTGAACAACAACCTGAATGTCAAACCCTTTTGCTTTCCCTTGCGCCGCAAACACACGTGCATTGATTTATTTTTGCTGTGTGCGGACGCGTACCATCGTACTGGTATAGCAGTGGCTGGCCGGCTTCTGCATGAATTCTGGGCACTTCTTCGAGCCACGCGGTCTTTCAAACTGTTTCTCATTTTCGCACTTTCGGTGTCATGCGCCTAGGTTGTGTTATGGTGACATCCTGTC